CTCCTGTGGGTTCCGTTTGCAGTATCACAAATTTGGATTCCAATTTAAACACATACTATACTGTACCCTTGAAACCCTCATAAAATCTCTTCCCAGCCTTAATTTTAAAGAGAATTCAGTCAACAATCTGCCAATCTATATAAATAATCGAGATGATCCCTGCTAATATATTGTCATTCTCAAAATTGCTAAAGAAGGAGAACAGAATTTCCTCAACATGAACCACCTCTGCACTTGGATGACCTTTTTTGTTCGATTTTGGTCCACAGCGAAGCCTATGGACAACTCTCTGGTACCACAAAACCCATGGAAAATCCTCTGTTTATAAGCCGACTCTCATCGGTATCCACTTTCGGGAGTACAACAAACTCCAGCGGCAGTGGCGTACAATACTCAGGCAACGTCGGTATCCCATATGGAAGCAATATCATTGAGGTCTCTCATGACGTCGCCAATCAATATAAATATGTTTTGAGATTTGAGGGACCCGCCACGGGGGGAAGTTGGACCGTGGTCCTTTGGAACAAAATTGGACCCGATGGTTTGCTCAGCGGATGGTACGGGCATGGCTGTAAAATGTTCACCCTGACACCCGGCCAATACCGGTACATTGCGGTTGATGAGGATTCACAAGGTGGATGGGCTGCTGCTCCGGGAGTTTCTATACCTCTCGATTCGCAAGGCGGTTATGCTTCAACTTGGGGCGAATTTGACTTTGGTTCGTCCATCAACTCTGGTTGGTCAGGATTTGATGTGTCCGCTATCGCTGCACAGAATGCGGGTCTATCGGTGCGAGGGATGAAGATCTGTGACGTCCTCACAGCCATCTGCTCTCATATCACGAAAGATGCCGCCGATGTTCATAACGTCTACATTCGTGCCCTTGTCGGAGTGGGGGGTATTGGGGGAAACCTTTCGCCTGGGCCAGTCAGACTCGCAGTCACCCTCGATTATGATGCATCCTCTTAGCTAGCCACTCAGCCAAGCCCCCTCCTTGTCCAGCAGAATGGGCGACATCCCTTAGAATACCCAAATTGAGTGAAATAATCCTAGGGTCTGTAGTCATGACTGGTATCATACATCTGCAAGAACTAGACATCGGCTCTCGAATTTTGTAATATCTATCTTGTAGATCCCGTCCTGGCGAGGTGAAATACCTTGTGTGATGATCGCCCACCAGTTACGGTACCTGCACATTGAAGTACACACTGTGTCAACAAGAGTTTACAGAGCCTCCTCAGCTATGCCATTGCTGTTGAATAAATCGCACGTGGATGAAATCTATTATTGCAATTAAAGTGTGATTAAGATTTGATCAGCAGCGACGTGTCCCAAGGGAAGAGCCTGACCATGGATAGCGGTAGTGGTACAAGAGTCACGATTCCCAACACAGGTCTCCCTTCGCGGGTTGAATTGAAATGGAACAACCAATCTTCTGCAATATTGATTAGGTTTATATCGAAAACTGAAAGGACTTTGAAAGTAGGAATGGAACAAAAGCTGATTAAAACCTGGGGGGAACATTTCGTAGCCGACATATTCACTTGCAGACATTCGCACACAGAAGCCATGAACAAGTGATGTTGGCCATAGCAAAAATAAGCGATCGCTCACCGAGAATGAGACTCGCAAACATAACGGACACCAAAAAATAACCCGCTCTTCTTGTATTCTCGTTTATCGTGCCATAGAGACGCTAATTCAACTCAATCATCCTGAAGGCGCGTTTCTCGCTCGCCTTCAAAACCTCGACAATCCCATCATTCAAGGCAGTCACAGCTTGCCTACGGCCAAACAGCTCCAGAGCCTGATCGTTGCAGCACTGGCACAGTACATCACATTCGGCAGTCAGCCACTCGATTGACCTCTGAAGATGACGTTGCTCTTCCTCAAGTCGTATCTTCAATGCAGAATCGATCACGTAGCATTTCCACAAGCAGAGATACAAGTCAAGAAGGCCAACGATGGGAGCCGCGAGGGAGCTGTGATGACGCAATATGTATTCAAACTCCGTGGTGAGGCTTGCTGAAGGAGAGGGAGCCTAAATCAATCAGCATAGTCATACAATAAGTGGAAGGCTATATAAACTTGTTTCCGTCTGCCGAAATGATTTTCTCAGGTGGTTGATCGTGAATTTGCTCCGGTAACTCACCGTTAGTCTCTCGGTGTACCTGTTGTCTTTTGGAGGACTGGAATGTAGGAGAAGACAAAGGACGTTTCGAAGAGCTCATGGTGTTCGATTTGTTGCTGGATGTAATCTGACTCTCATGAGTGCTTAAATAGGCCGCATATCTCTTCACGATATACAGTAATATACATAATTTCTACCAGTGCAACGCTAAACTTCATAACGTTGGCGCTCACAGTTTATCAAAGTCTAAATGCTCCCCTCGGAAACGATCAAGTTGCATAAACGTTCAGACTTGGCCCGTCGAACCCAGTTTCTAAGTCGATAGCCTCGACCGCCCTTAGCTCTCGGACCATTGAACGGAATCCATAGCCACGGAAGAGATCCAACGTGACTAGTGCAAGTGTTCATAGGAGGCGCAGTTCGGTAGTGTTCGTGTCGGATTTTGTTGTCAAGCTGGGGATTGACCAACCTTCCCTTGCCGGCACAGGTTCCGTATTGGACGGCGTAGGCCAAGGCACTTTCTCCCTCTCGATTTTGCATCCGAAGATCAATATTCTTATGACTTAGCAGAAGTCCGAGAATGTCTATCGATCCATGTTGAATAGCTCTCATCAACGGAGTCTTTCCATGCAGGAAGGTGTTGGCATTGGCACCATAAAGAAGCAAGAGCTCGGCCTGAGCATAATCGTTGTCTCTGGCCGCCAGGTGTAGGAGATCGCTGTTCTGGTATTGAATATTGTACCTGAGGATTCTGGGCTGCAACCTGCAGTAAAGATTCCAACATGATTTGCCCAAGGAGACCATATCACGAACGTTTAATTGAGTGACAACAAGCATGAGAATTTGGGTTGGTAGGCTTTGGAGGATTGCCTGCAGGAAATTAGCCAATACACTCACTAAAGAATTGAGACTTTTCAGCAGCAACATTGAACAGACCATCGTGGGAGATAAGCTCTTGTAGATTGCGAGAAGTATGCAGAGGACGGCAAGCTTGTGTATGAGAAGAACTTATCACTGCTTTTTCCAGGAGGGTTCTGAGACTTTTATATTCGACGCGGCTTCTCGGGACTTCTATTCTAAATTGACAGCTCCTAAGAGACAATTTCATGTTCCTAGAGACAATGTGACTGTCCCAGGGATCATGCTTGTGAGCTCCAGAGAGCCCGGGATATCCTAGGAGCTCTTCTAAGACGACCAGAAGCATGCAGGCGACTGGTGGCAGGGCATGACCAGCTAGAATGCTTGCCTACATTTTCTTCAAAATGATCAAGGCCTGCTACGGAAGGGGCGCATTCCTTCACAGCGCGAGGCAGCTACACCCAGGTGATGCTGATCAAATACATTTAATTCATTTCAGACGAAGCCACGATATGGGTTATAAACAGGATCTTGACCCTAGTTTGGCATCCCAGCCGCCTTAACTATCCCATTTCCATCATTTGAATCGTTTCTCATTTCCACATCTCACCAAGTTATGTCTTATTCCCAAGATTGGGATCGTTTTACGAACGGGATGGGTGTCAGTCTCGCTACCGAGGCTCGAATCTGCTGCGGAACTACTACGGCGGGTGCGCCGTGCAAGAACTCCATCAAATTCCAAGATTTCAAGACTGGGCAACAGCAATTGGCAAATTTCGCCGCACAGCCATTCGAATTCTTGACATTACGATCCACCTTAAATGATATCGCGAGGAACTTTCTCTGTGCCAGATGGCACCGGCAGCGACAGGCTGACCAGCTTGGGCAGCAGTGGTATGAGGCGGTCGTTCGGAGCCGGGAACATGCCAGACACACCTCCGAGGTCGCTGCCGTAGCACCCGATATCGAAGCGGACCAGAGCCAGCGATCGACATTTGGGCGCCAGACAGACCCGGTGCTTTCCTCTAGAGCCACAATTCAACATGAGGATGAATCGATATCCCTGGTCCGTGATCCAGCTCCTCTCGGGCCTTCGGAAAGAATCTGCAGATACGTCATGGCTTCGATGTTACGAACCAACAGCGCTCCGTGGTGTATCTCACCGGCTCAGCCAGCTACCCTGTCGGGTTTCAATATCGGGGCGGGGATGCAAAATCTGGAACTGCACAGCCTCACTCTCAGCGACGAGGTGTCTGCTATCTATTGTCCATTCTGTTTAGGAGACGATGAAGAGTATCTGGACGAGAGCGTGATCCTTCGTTGTAACCGGTGCCGGGGATTGGCTCATCTGAGCTGTGTGGAAGAATGGCTGGAGAAGCGCGACGCGGGACCTCACGTGTCCTGCTGTGCCTGGTAAGTTCCAACTCGCCAGCCTCCCCGGTGGATTCGAACGCTAACACGATGTAGCCGAAGTGACGGAGCACTGGATGCTCTGCTCCGCTCACCGAGAGCGAGGGCGAATCCTGACCCAGCAAGTGAAGATGCGGAAATACACGCAGCTCTATTGGTGGAACGTTCGGATGCCACCGATAGCCCTCACCAGTCGGGTTCAGGTCGTCTACCAGTGCAGTCAGTGTCATCGCCCCACAGACGAGCACTCTGTAGTACAACACGCAGTGTCCGCCGGTCGGCCCGCCTGGCAGAGAACAATACACCTCGCCGGTCGCCGCGTCTGAACCGAACTTGAATGCAGGGTTGCACCGACGCGAGCAATTGTTGGATAGAATGTCGGAGAGAGGCTGTACATCAGATGCAATAATCCGGGATATCACATGCCCTAAGCACTTGTTAGATGACTTAGTCATATCCTTGATCGTATTACAGAGTCGTTGAAAGATGTGACCCGGAACACAATAAATGATTACCCTCCCCTTGTCCATCGTGGATGGGAAATCTAGAGGGATTCGACGTTTGATCGCACTCAAGATAAGATGACGATACGACATCGGGCCTATTTCAGGCGCCTAGGTGCACATGGAATTTTAGCATAGAATGTGTTTGGTTCCAGATCATGATCATACCGCTTGGCTTCCTGTAACGCATAGCTTGCCTACACTCGACCTTCCTGTCAGATCATCATATGTTGCAGAGCGAAGCTACTCTCCGAACGGTTTACTGGGAAAGTCCCCTCACACTCTCATACGACCCCGGCGATAGTCGATCAGACGGCACCCCATAAAAAGCTCGATCTTCGTTCAGCGCAATCGTGGCATAATAAGTCGATGTGTGCGACAGACCGGTAAAGAGGCACTTTCGGTGTGTCTGACGAGCGGACTGCTGGCGGCAGCCACAGGGCACCGTCTCGTTGGGGAGGGCTGTACCAAAGGGTCAGCATTTGGTTTTTGGATGATTAATGACCACTTACCTGCTTGATCGTGAAGAAGCGCCATCTCAGTGTTCGCACAATTGTCATCATGAAGCACAACATGATAGTCTGGGCCGTTCGGGCCGAGCATGCGAAAAGATTCCGCCTCATTGTCTTCCCAACTGACCAGAATGCCTCCGGGGTATGGCTTGAACTTGATGCTGTGCGGCAGATATCGTAGTCGCCGACCAATCTGGCGCATGAATTTCATTTCTGCTGGTCGAGACGTCGGATGTGCTTTGAAAATGGATGCGATCGATCGAACCAAGAGCTCTTCCACCACATGACAACAGAAAAAAGGTTTGTGTCGGCGAGGTTGCTCGGAGACCAGGGCCGGCAGAATGTCCGATGGTGCGTACAAGCAAAGTCCAACCATCAACAATGTATCTTGTGCATGCCCTGTCCCTTGTCAAAGTATACGTCGACTTTGTCGGCTGAGCCTCGGACATAGAATACCTGAATATGGTCGGTGAACCTCAGCAGAGCGAATCAGGCTCGCAACGCGCGGTCGACTGTTCTTGCACATGTTGTGTTTGGAATGACGCAGGGCTTCGCATCCTTGAACAGCTCTTGCCGATCCTCTTCGACGGTTCGGATGGGGCAGTGGGCACGCAGTATGTGCCACAGCGTGTCGGGCAGGCGTGCGGAGCGTTTGCCGAGGCTGTCCCGGATTGTATTCGCGGTCTGTCTGCATCAGTTATCAAAATGTGGAAATGTCTATACATGTGAGCATACCTGGTTATTGCTTCTCTCGCTGTAAAAGAATTCCTTATCCGCTGACTCACGCGGCAAGTATTGCCAGATCAGACGCGCCGCCGGTGGCTCTAGAAAGGGCCTATCATCTCGGCGTCGGCAGAACGGGCATGCTTCCGCAACAGATCGACAAGTAGAGGCAAGATGGTATCTTTCTGCTTACATGGAGCTTCCTCCCATATTCGTTGCACTTGGCGAGCCGCATCCCGCCAGGATTTCAGTCTGTGACGCTCGTGGCAGGTGGTCAAAGAGGCAAAATTGTACGCGAAGAGGAATGCGCCGCCCACGGTGGAACTGGTCAAGGTGATCCCATTGTGATAGAGAGGACCTCGCAGCTGGGGATCAAGAATAAAGTCGCCATGTGGCGTGGAAATAATTACGGAAGGGTAAGTGAGCCCGCGAATGTCCATCGTCGTCAAGTGGAGCCAATTCACAAACGCGTCTAGCGCGATCGGCGGTTGGCCTGACCTGGCCCGCCTCGCGCCGATCACCACTGCCACGTCCCTCCCCACATGGTAGCGGAGGCTTGCCATGTCGAGGGCAGGATCGGTCCACTCGATCGACTTGGTTTTCTGAGATGGTGTAACAGCACACGAAACCGAAGCGGCGTCTGCGTGCATGTCAAACCTCCAATTGCAACCACTTGCAGTGATACTCACGTTGTAGCTATCTCGAGAGAGAACCTGGACCGCCAGCTTGAGACCTTCGCCGTGACGTCCCACAAGATGGTCGTGGGCACCGTGGACAACTTTGGTTGAGAATTCCATAGCTAGAGCATTGATGGGTAGTTGTATGTGTTGTGATACCAGGCATTTGCTGCTCAGGAATGAAACCGCAACATCGGAAATAATTCCTGTTCTATGTATAGGAAGAACCAAGTTGATTTCAAATCAACCTGGACTTCATGTTGTATATATAGCCTCATGTAATCTCTCAAGAAGAAAAATTAGCAATCTTCCTTTTGCAAGACCACAGGTCGTGCCCGCGACCTGCTTGAATATATCGCGGCAACCGGACTCGTCCATGTTGGCCCTGACCTTGATATAGTCGAAGAGGTCTACCCCTGGCAATCTATGGGGGATCATGTCAATATAATAGTAGATGTCGTCCTCGAAGAATCCATCCATCTCCACAATGTTCGGATGCTTGAGCCAGTCTCAAAGATAAGCGCTTTCATCTTTGGCTGGACTTCATCATGTTCGGTTCTGGACATCGTAGGTTCGTCTTCAACATTGTGACAGGGTCGAGCTTGCGGGAGAAGAAACATTCAGTCCCCAGTTGGGCCCTTCTTGTTGCAGTCAAGACATCGGGCCAGCTTGCCGGATCACAAACCACGGGATGCGCCTCTTCCGCCTAATCATAGTGTTCAAGAGTTCAAGTGTACCCCTAGCCTACAAGAGGCTATTTCCATCGTCCATTCTTAGCATCTGCGGAGACAAACCAGGCCCTACCCGAATTCCCAGTGCTTTACCAACCATGTCCCATCTTCGGTTTGGAAGCCTCGCCGCCACAGCTCGCTCTCGTTGCCGGTCCTCTCGATGGATTGGGCCTGAACACCTTCCATGCCAAAGCCTTCAGGGGAACGACGATACCGAACCATTGTTTGATCGTTTTTGTAGTTAACCAATTCTTGTTACCACTCGGTGTTGATGTGGGCTCAGCTGCCCTGAACTGGATGCTGTAATCGGTCTTTGTAGTGGCAATGGGGCCACCTGTACGTCCTGCGTAGCGGTCGCGTTCGATGGGCGGTTCGGAGGTGCGTATTTGCCGTGCCAAGGGAGGTACCGACCGAAGGCATTTTCATCGCTGTTTTCATTGTTATGCGAATCGACGAAGGGAAGTTGGGAGCTAATTCGAATGCAGTTGGGATGTCTGTCGAATCGCTAGCAGAGCTGGGTACCACGACGGCCCATGATCGCGGGGAATCCGTGCCTAGTCCGTCAATCTGCAGCTGAAGCATTCGCACTTCCTTGTCATTTCGTTGTCGTTCACATCGTTGTCGATCGCTTTGAGGCGTAGTGATCGCGTTAGCCCGGGGGTGTGCTTTCATGGATTCAATGACTCGTATTGGTTGGTGATGATGATTTCGTCTCTATGGCGCGAGCACCTTCTCTTGCGACCGATACGAGAAACGATCTGTGGTTTGAAGTTGCTCACCGAAGGGTTTGTCGGCACATTGTTAACGCATGTGGGAGGCTTTGGAACCGCTAGTGGATCCACGATCCACCATTCGTCCCGCTAATGCCAAGCAGGCAACTCACGACAAATTCGGCGGACAACCTCGTTCTCGGAGCCCCCTGGTTGCGGGGTCCACCATTGGCACCCGAAAATGGTTTGAAGGCTTCGGCTTTGAGACAATCTTTCACGGTGGCGATCAAACGCTTGGGGTGTCGTATTGAGGCTCGCTGTCACGACTCACTGCCAGTGGTTAGCTAGTTTTTTGGATTGATGATCCATGACTTGCCTTGATGGCCTCAACTGTTAAGACTATCGCACATTGCACTTATCTCCTCGGGCCATACGCACGCGGTTCTAGGTAATGCCCAGATTCCTCAAGGTTAGCATCAGGCAAGATCAGGGAACGACGCATACACCTGCGTCACGGGTGGTCCCGGTTTTACACCGAAAAGGAAGGCAGGTCTCAAGCGAAGGTTCAACTCGATTGGGCATCCGGGAGATCCCCTGCGATCAGTATTATTGTCGAGGGGCCCGGATTTCTTCCTATTGAGTTCGAACAGTCATGGGACAACGCAAGACTTTAACGGGACCGACGGTCAAGAGAAGCAGGGTAAGGTACCTCGCACGGGGTGGTCATAGGCACTACGTGACTCACATGTATTAACGACGTGCTATGCCTTTGTCAGTTCAGTGGAAGAACCAGAGGTTGATTAATTGGGAAGAACTTATTAGGGGACCGTCGGTAGTGTCTGGAACTTTCTAGTCCAGTCCCGTTTGGTAGAGGCCGAGCTTCTGGCTCCAAATGAAAAAGCCTTCGTCGGCTTTGGAAGAGTTACGCAGTGAGCTAGTCAGAAGAATAAAAGGTCTATGCGAAGTAGGGGGGATTTATAGATTTGTCGGCTTGTCTTGTCATGTGTTTTGTTTGACACTAGCCCGCCTGCTACGGGGAGTGGCAACCGTCGAAATATAATCATCAGTGTAGCTGTCTAAATCTGGGGGGCGCTGTACAGATGTTTCAAGTCAACTTCCACTTATTTGAGCCACAGTTGGAATTTCAATTTTAGTTGGCCACTGTGAGAATTAAGCTTATATTGAACTAGTGATGTTGAGTCTGTGGAGACTGCAGCGTTCAGAAAAAAGTTGACTCATAAACATGCATTCAACGGGGGTTGCAATGACGACGTTGAGGTGGCTGTTCAGCCATCATCGATAAAATGCTTGGGCTTCGGCGTTGACCTATTCTTTCTGTTCAAGTTTCAACGCGGGCTCAACGATCATTCCAATACTTTGCGAAACACACCGGTCCAAATTTCAATACCCGGACGGGCATCGTTGATGAGTATGAGCGTTGAAACTGGTGAACGGTGACCACGCATCTTCAGTCTATGACTCGGTGCGGTCGGCCAGCAACTAACATATGAGGATGAGCTCCATCTCGTCAAGGGCTTGATCCTGAATTCAGCGGAGCTTGCTCACTGCGGGTTCATGGTGATGTTGCAAACAGTTTATATCGGGTACAAAGTTACAAAAATGATCTTCAACGTTGAGCTGCACTGGCAGCATTCGAGCATGATTAAACTCATCGTTGCAATCGAATTCTGCAACCTTCTGAGACGCACTTTAAGCTGGTTCCTTAGCCGGCCTCGTTGATTGCTCAACACATTGGCAGAGTTGAATGTCAAAGAGATCTTCTACGTACGGCAGGTCCAGTGACGTCTCGCCTGAGCCTTCTTCCTAGCCCTCGATCACGAGGAACAATTCATTGCGGACAAAACCAAACGGCATGAGTGCAGACAGCGGGGGAAGCGCTGGGAAACAGCAAAAGCAGATTACGAGCCAAAATCCTTGACTCTTGGGGTACATTTGCTTCTAGGGCCCACCGTGGTGCTCCTGGGGTGTCATGGAGGGATTCTGGAAACTATGATTAGTACTCCCAGGGATGTGCTGATACGTGCCTAGAATCTTGCACAGCTGTCCATCTAAGCCATTAAGGAATTTGGATACATAACCCCATTAGAAGAACCACGAGCTCAATGACAGACCATATAAATTCGTGATGCGTCTGCTCTCGTTTCCTCTCCTCGGCTATGTTCATTTCATCCAATATCGAAAGGGTTACCTGGGCGCTCTCCATATCGGAAATCCTCAATCTTGCCAGATCTGTCTACCGTATATAAATCTCTACCAACGGCACTTTGGCCGCCAATTGCAGAGGTGATTCCTGTCTCATATTGTCGCTAAGTGAACTCTGCACGTCTACTTGACTTGTTGTTCCCGCACCTTGGGATTACTACCGCCACCGGTTTCACTAGTTCACTTTATCTCTCTGTCCACGATGCCTCCACGCCGCCGATCCTGCTTACCGTGCCACGTTTCAAAGCGACGATGCAGTCGCGAAGTGCCTTCTTGCCAGTCTTGCGTACTTACGTGATGGGACGGTTAGCGCGACGCAGGAAACGGCTACCTTTCTACCCGCACCCAGATTACTACAGTAATCATGAAAGATTTACCATACATTCAATTCTTTGTTTTATTCCCAACTTTGATGCATGTTCCAGCCATAGAAAGGCGGCTCATTCAATTAGTCCCGTTCGTAGTTCGCCCTGGGTATGGAACAGATTTTCCACATCTTCGGCACATAATCATCGCCTCGCGGGTGATATGGTTGGCCACTTGGTCAAAATGTTATGCATGGCGGTAGTGAATAGCCCTCAGCGCATATCGCTTCGATCGCAGTGACCCATTGGCGATCTCCTGGTTGTAGGATTGATCGCCGACCGTAGTATTCTGCTCGCGTAATAATCTTCTGCGCTGAGATAAGGCCCATTGCGAATGCAGACTCATCGAAGTCATAGATGTTCTCTGGTCGAATCCCGTTCTCCTCGATCGTATGTTGAACCATCAAAAACCACTCTCTGATAGCCTTTAGGTCCTCGTTTAGAGCGCGCTGAGAAACATATCGCTTAGAAAAGCGCAATCGAAGCTCAGCGCGCCATTCAACGAATGTTCATGCCCAGTTAACGCCAACGCCAACGGTTAATTGGGGGGGGGGGGGAGTTTGTTCCACGCGCTGCAAGAAGCAAGAAGGATATTGGCCATCTCTCGAACAGTCGAGGACCTAGGCGCTACCCCACTCAATTTTAGAGAGAGTATCCATTCAGCAAGCGAATCCTCTTCATGTTGTGTCAGTTTACGACCTGATGGGCGTTTATCGACGTGCGAGGATCTTCCATGCGCGCGCGTGTAGGGTGGAACGCGGTATGCTGTATAACTTCGCTGCTGGGCGAATAGATTTGATACGGCCATTTTTTGTATCAGCAAGGGCTAATAGGACCCTGCCCTCTTGATTGGCCGATTTCTGCGAAGATTTGATGCGAATTGGTGGCATGGTAGGCGGTTGAATTAGGTAGGGTGGCAGGAATTCGCGATTTTGGAGTGGGGTGCCCCGACCGGCCGTGAATTACGTTAACTAAAGTATTTCCTTCTCCTGGGTATTTATTCACTGCCCCTACTGTTCCGACATCTAGGATAAAGGAAACCTAGCCGAATGAATAGCGTACCCGTACACACTAGCCTTGGGCATCCCCCA